TAGGAAAGCTTTGTTTTGCACCTTGCTGCCTGAGAGGCTTGATGTAATTAGTCTTTGTAAAGTGTTTGACAAGACATCTTGTCTCTCTCTGAATTAGGTATTCTGGTACACACGGCCCTTCTGTCAGCTCTTTTCAGCATGACAGAGCACCTAAAATACCTGTTCAAATGAGGTTATTTATAACAAGGGTATCTGTTACATGTTAATTAGTGCTTTCCTGAACTTTAGCCTCTGTTCTCAACTTCCTGTGCATGAATGTGCAAATGTGTGACACTGTTTTGTTAAAATATGGCAGAGTTTGCTTATTGTTCCAGTTTGGGAAGCCCTGCAGTTTCAAGGAGTTCTTTGGAAGAACGCATCACAACAGAGTATCTAATTTTGCTATTTCTCTTGCTCATGTTCAGAGAGCAGCCTTGGCAAAGTGCTACTGGATAACATTTTTGGCTGATTCAATGGACTCTGAATTGGAGAAAAGATATGGTGAAAAAAGAAACATCCAGTTTAACTACAGTCCTTATTGGCCCTTTCTGAGGGAAGAAGCTGAGAACAGAGGCTAAAGTTCAGGATAATCTTAGGGTGTTGGTTTTCCTATCAGTGATATGGAACAGGTAATGCTGACCTACTTTTCCAAGGTACCATATTGGAACCTCTTTAAATATTAGTAGTTATAATGTCCTGCGGACTGGATCTCCACCCCACCCCCCTCTTGGGGGGGGACAGTTAGTGGTAAAAATTGAGATAATGAAACGGCTGGAGATTAAGGCAATTAATTGTTAGTCACTTTCCCAAACAGGCCTGTTCTCCCTCCCTTGCCACCCTCTCCCCCTGCATAAAGATGCCCATGCCGTCTCACAGGCAAGACTCCTTTTGTTGTTCTGCAGGCATATTTTGGAGGTTGCATCATAAATGAAGAGACACTGAACTTTTAAGTTCCTGACAGTCTAGGGTCAGGCTGTGGTTTACAAGCAAAGAGTCATACATGTTTAAAGGAAAATATTACTGGTGGCTGCTTATGTTCTCTTTTTCTTTTCCCTTCCTCGTTCCCCAGAAATAAAGCAGCATTATTGAACTTGTCCATGTTCAGTTTCATTCCTTCCAGTACCACCAGAAGGTTAGCTTCCTGTATTCTTTCTCTTCTATTCCTTTTGTCAGAGGTAACCTATTTTAAACCGATTACCCTAAATAGATCTTGGCTTTCTACTATATAGGAACTATAATTTTGTTTTCAAAGCCCAGAACTGTTTGGGGGTACCATCATATGGTTAAATTTAAAAAGAACACGTATGCAGATTTGCTCGTATAAAATAGTTCTTCATGCATAGAAGCAGTCACTGTGAGGACGACCTTGGTAACTCAGGGCTCACTTTGCATGCCGTTTTTGTTGCCTTTTCTTCAGAGGTGATTGGTAGTTAAATGTAGTCACTTGCCATGCATAAAGCTCTCCAAAAAAATTAGTGGGAGAATTCCTCCTCGCTTTGGCTGGCTTCTTTTCTGATTGGAAAGTGAACTAAGAATAGAGGATCTAGCACAATAACAAAAGGATATGTTCCTCTCAATGGCAGATCATTCGTCTTGAATTTCCATGGGATAGGATAATGTGTAATACCTGGTTTTAAAGATGGGGAAATGATCTGTTATCAAGAACGTCTCCCTTATCTTCTCCCAAGCTCTTAGACTGTCTTCTATTTAAAAGTCAACCTGATGTTTTGCCTAACACGCTTCTAAGGCAAGATGACCGTGTTCCACTTTCCTTCTACCCATCCATTATCCAACCTGAAAGATAATGAGTTCCATGCTTCATACTGATAACAATTCTCTTCTCCTCGATTCAGAAGTATTAGAGGGAGTGGGCCAGCTTACTCTCCTCCACCTTTGAGTCCATCAAAATCTGCTACCTTGTTCCACATACCTGATCGCTGCAGCATTTTCTTTTTGGCCATTGTGTATGTTCTCGGTAGATAACTAATCAACTGTAGCATTGTCCATATGATGGATACACTGCCAGGAAGGCTTGGTGATATCAGCCTCAACAGCAGAGGTAGCTATTTTTGCTATCTTAGCATCAGGATTCAGAACAACAGATTGCTAGTAGCTTCAAACAGATTTCCTGCTTCTAGATAATCCTGGAAGGATTTGTGCCTTATTTGGTTCTCTGGTCCTTTATGGATGCAGTTGCTCCCTGCTTGCACCATGTGGGGCTGTTCGTGTGGGTTTGCACTCTGCTAAGTCATTGGGAATGGTGCCTGGTGGTTTGTTTACATCCTACAGACTAGATGTAATGGAGCTTTTTTTAAGAAGGACCATGTCATCATATTTCCATGGCTTGAGGCAAGCAGATTCAGCACTCTAGGTGAACTTAAGCTTAGCTTACAGTATTTTGTCCCCAGTCTTTATTGTGTCTTATTTTGCCTCTGGGCAAAACTTTTTTTTTTGGCTGAGATACTGCTACTCTTCTTTCATTCCATACATGCCTTTTTCATCTTGATTCAGGATGTATACTTTGTCATTGTTTATTACTTACAAAAAAGGGGGGGAGGGGACAAGGTACAATATAATTAATTTTGTGCATGTGCAAGTTAAGGAAAGCCAGAAAAAGAAACTGACTGTTTTATGTTATTGGGTACATAGAACTAAAAGTTTTGGCAGGTTCCTATTTCCTCTGTGTACCTACCACACTTCAAAAAAATCCGTTAGTCACTTTGAGGTGTGATTTTTGATCCAGGGGATGAAGCAAGTCAGCCCTGACAAAAGCCAACACAGCAGATTCTTTGCAAAGGAATCTCTTCCCTCTTGTTTTCATCTCTCCGGTACAGCAGAAAAGTTACTGCTGGGCCTGGTTGAAGAACAAAGGTTGGACTCGTCAGCCTGATCTTCAGGGACTAGCACCAAAGACGCTTCTTAGCGTGCGTGCTTCTTTTGCTCATCTATTTGGAGACAGTGTTAGAAACCTGAGGGCAGGGAGGGGAGAGCACCCAAAATCAAGATTCTTAGAATTTTGTTACTGTTTGTTCCCCAGCTTGAAGGCTGAGGGCAGATTGCAGTAATAGCCAAAACAACATTCAAAGTATCTCTAATGGGAAATAAGTCAGCAGTCGATTCAGCATATATTCAACTTGACTTTATCTTTCCGCCTCTAAGTATTATAATACTTTTCTCACTTTTGTTGTGCTCAGCAACAGATATTTCCAATTGCTTTGGAACAAGCAGCGGAATAACTTACATTATGTTTCGGGTGTATGTATTTGAGGCAGAGCAGTGGAGAGGGCAGGAAAATGCTGCTTATAAGGCTGGGGGCAAAATACTTTCTTCTCTCAAAGGTTATATCTCTTGGGGGAAGTCTATCGATTGAAGTCTGGCAATTAGGACAAGAGCAAAAAAGTTAACAAGGCCTTCCTTCCTTCCTTCCTTCCTTCCTTCCTTCCTTC